TGGGAAGCAAAAGAGCCATAGCGAACTTATCTGATCACAGCAAAGCGGGAACAGCAGCCTGGTTTTAATGGAGGTGGGAGGAAGAAGCCCAAATTGCTTTGCAGACATGGGTGGCACTCCAGCCAATTGTGCTTTGGAATCTGGTTTAAGAAATAATTGGGCTTCGGTTGGGGAGGGCTAGAACTGCAAAGGCTCCTAATGCAGGGAAACTGCCCAGGTGTGTGCAGGGCTGCCTGGAGGCTCAACCGTACAGATAGGTGGCTGCTGCAGCCTTGGCTTGGTTCCCGTCTGGCCCCGAAGACACGGAGAGCACTGCCGGGTGAGCTGTCATGTGCAGGTGATGGATGGTGGCTGTGGCCTGATTCTTGGGCAGACACAGACTCACTGCAGTGTGCCACGACTCTATGTGAGCCCTGGCCCTGTGCAAGGTTCCCTGGGAGGAGAAGGGGGAAAGCTACGCAATAACGTGTTCTACAGCTCCTCCTTTGGCAGTCACCACGATGGGGCAAGCCAGAACCTGGGCTCTCCCAGGCAACATGCTCTAAATGGCTTGGAGAGAAGCTTTCTAGTCCCAGGGTTTACTCTGGGTTTGTGGAGGGAGGGGGCAACAGAAGTGCTAGTTGGTTTTGAGCTGGTTACAGTCTTCACTTGCTGGGGTTTCCCTTCCGACTAGATTAGAAATCTGGAACATGTAGCCTCGCTACAGTGTCTGTGCCCAATTCAAGACATGAGGGAAGACAACGGAATGAATGGGCAGCTTGGGCCAACAGGTCCTACCTGTTGAAAGGCCTTGAAAACATGTTTGCTCTTTTTTTTTTTTTCCCCCCCTTTGGTCTAACTGAACTGTTCAGGTGATGCTTGATGACAGCTCCCACTTCTGGATAACATTTGCAACCAGAGCCCTTCCCGGGCCAGCTCAACCTTCAACACATTTTGCTCTGCTCCATGGTTCCTTAGAAATGTTGTGCTGCAGGTAGAGCTTTCTAGAGCACAGGGAATTCTTGCAGCTTTGGAAGGCACTTTCTGGAACATGGAACTTCAGGAAGACCTTAGCAGGGTTTTTTTGTTTTTGTTTTTGTTTTTGTTTTGTTTTGTTCTCTTTTAATCTCCAAAAATCCTTACCCAGTTGTCTGTGGCTGTTCATTAGTGTTAGGGACTGGAACAAACACCTTGATGCCCAGACCTGAAGCATCTGAAGCTGGAACCAAAGCATGAGAACCTTTCACATGTTCCTGTTTGTCCCACTGGGTGGTCAAGTTTGGGAATCACATTGTCATTCTCCAGCCTCAGTTAACTCCTCAAGGGTGGCGCTGACATTGACACTCTTAAGTTTGAATCCCGCGTCTGCCACCGAGGAATTCTGTGTGCGTGTTCTCTTATCTGTTATGTTGGGTGCGGAGAATGGGTGTTACCTCCAACCGTTGAAAGGACTGCACGAGAATGCCTGAAAGGCTGAAAGAGGCTCCGGTGCCCACAACACACTCTGTGTCCAGGACAAGGTCTAGCGAATGTTAATGTTTGTGCTTGGGACAGAGAGTGGCTGGATCTCCCGTCCCACACTACCCAATGAAATTCACTTGCCCTGCACCCTTTGGTTATTCCACACATCTTCCTGCTACCTATCAAAATCTCACCAAAGCTATCAAGTTCTGTGCATCCCAAAGCCTGTGAGGCGAGTGAACATTTTCATTCTTCAGGGACCAGGCTAAGCCTTTTGATGGCCCATGGATGAAGCAGGTCCTATTAGAAAGGGCGAAAAAATGTTTAAAAAAGATTTTTAATTGGAAAGTTTACAGAAAGGAGAGACAGAAAAATCTTTGGTCCTCTGATTCACTCCCCAAGTGGCTGCCATGTCCGGAGCTGAACTGATCCGAAGCCAGGAGCCAGGAGCTTCCTCCAGGTCTCCCATACAGGTGCAGGGTCCCAAGGCTTTGGACCATCCTGGATTGCTTTCCCAGGCCACAAGCAGGGAGCTGGAAGGGAAGTGGAGCAGCTGAGACACGAATTGGCGCCCCTATAGGATCCCGACACATGCAAGGCGAGGACTTTAGGTACTAGGTTACTGGGCCTGAGTGAATTCTTTTAACCAGGTACACTGTTGAACCTGTTGGAAAAAATTATGTTGCTATATTTATGCAAATGAGATGGAGAGAGAGAGCAAATGAACAATTGTGGTGAAGGCGAGAAAATAGTGTTGCGTGCTAGGCACTCCTCACGCATGAGGAATTTCCACAATCATGGGAGATGGGGGAGGGGGCTTTCAGGTAATCCCTTACTACAAAACTGCTCACAGGAAAGTCTCTTAAAAGCACCAACTATTTTGCTGGTGAACGTTCAACTGGATATTTGCACAGCAACGAACAACAGCATCTCTGCCCCAAGTTGGCTCAACTGGGGCTGCAAGGACAACCACGGAGGCAGCAGTCTATTATGGAAATGACTCCGGTGGCCTGGTCTCTTTACCCACAGCCTGGAGTTGGGGGCTGGATGGGGTGGGGAGGCAGTGTCTGTGGGTTGGGAGGGTTGGAATAGAGAATCCTGTCCTGCACACACAGCCCGCCCTGCCTCCATCTCAGCCTCTCCACGCCTCATTCCAAGTAAGGGGAGCTGTGTCTGTGCTTGGGGAGAAGCCAAGCCAAGCCAAAGATTTAAACAGAGAACGGAGGAAACACACCCACTGAGGTTCCCCTAGCAACCCCATCACGCACAGGCGGCAGCTTATTTCGGTGGGAGCTGGGCTTCAGCTCCTCTGCTGCCTGGTTAGTCACGGAATTGGGTGCACAAACAGCGGCAGCCGTGGGGTGGGGTGGGCTGGAGTGGGGTGGGGGTAGGGTGGGGGAGACGGCGGTAGGGTGGGTGTTGAGGGTGCAGCCAGGCATTGGAGCAAGGGGGTGCTCCCCATCTCTCACCCCAGGGTTGGTACATCAGAGAATGGGACCACTGAGGCGGGGGAGGGGGAGAGGAGAGGATGCTTTCTGTTTCTCTTAGGTATACAAGTACTGAAGGTGTTGTGGCAGGAGTCGGAGGTCTCCGAATTTTTTGTCTTTGATCAGATGCTGGGGACAGGGGGGGAAAAAGTCATCTTGAGGATTCTTGTTTATTGCCTTATCACCTCCTGCACTGAGGCATTGTAATCTAGGGTTAAGGAGACTGAGGTCACTCTGAAATGTACTCCTTCCTCCAGACACACACACGCACACACATGCACGCACACTTCTCACCCTCCTCACCCCTCGCCTCCACATCAGCTCCACCAATCCTCTTTCTCCAGGGCCAGTGTGCTGGAGGCCTCTCTGATGCCAAGCAGGAGTCTGGTTCTTTTCTTCAATGGACTCTTGAGGGGGTTAGTTGAGGACAGCTGGGCTGGCTGGCACTTGCTTGGCCGTGGAAGGTGATGTTAAAAGCAACTGGGGCACCAGGGATGGATCTCCCCAAAGGAGGCCACCGGAGATGAAGTGGGCAGAGCCAGAAAGGCCCAGGGAGGAACTTGCTTCTCCCAACTGTCCACCCCACACACCCCCGTCTCTTGCCCTTGACCCGTGGGCTGAAGGCCTGACAACCCAGCTGTCTCGGGAGGAGTCAGCCCCGAGTGTCCTGTGGCGGCAGGAGAGGCAGAGTGGCCCCTCCTCTTTGGTCCTGTCTCCCACTGCCTGACAGATGGCGGGTAAGACACAGCAAAAGGAAGCTCTCAAAGTGAAGGCAGGGACTGCATTGTATAAAAATTCACACCCCCCGCTGCCGCCCAAACTCCCTTAAAAAGGGATCAAGAGAATCCTAATGGGTACGTGACATCCTCCCAGTCTCCCATAAAAGGGACTTCAAAATCTGGTGACGACGGGGGCTGGGGGTAAGGGAAGGGGGGAAAGGAAGGAGGAAGAAGAAGAGGAGGATGTGGGCGGGGGGGCTGCCAGGGAAGAATGGGGTCTGGGGTTCCAGACCAAAGGCCCAACCACTGGATCCCCTCTCTCCAGCCCTCTGCCCCCCCTCCCCCCAAGCCACTTCTGGCCGCCACCCTTCGCCTCACTTTCTGAGATATCGAGGGGGTGGGGAACCCCTGGCGCTTGGCGTAGGGAAAGCGACAGGAAACAGAGGCCAGTCCCTCAGCCCAGGAGTTCAGGGTGTTTCGGACACTCTCCTACCCGGTGTCCGTATCTCCCCACCTCCACCCGGCAACCTCGGTTTCCCGAACGGCAATCGGTCCAGGAACAGGCGGAGGCGCGCGAGGGTTGGGGAGGCTGGGTGGGGTGGGGGCAAGGGGACCACGGGCCGGACGCTCGGTTGGCGACGACCCCGGCAGGGAGGACTCACTCTTCCCGGGCCAGGAGCCCTGCCCTATTCTGGCTCCCGGCTCCCCGCCGCCGCGCAGCCCTGGCCCCCAGCGCAACTTGTGCACAGCGCGGGCAGTGGAGGCGGCCGAGAGCCCCCCGGTTGCGGGGGCGGGGCGGGCCCGGGGGTGCCAGGGGCCCCCTCGGTCTGCGCCCGGCAGCCGCCCGCTCCACCCAGCCTGCCAGCCCGCCCCCACTCACCCGGCGCAGCCCCCGGGAGGGACGCGCAAGCAGCGTGTTGCTTCGCCCCGCGCCTCGGCAGAAGTTGACAGGAGTTGGCGGCTGCCTTGGGCCGGCCGGACTTGGAGAGCAGCCGGCGAGAGGAGCGGAGAGGCGCCGTGGCCGCCTGCCGCTTTGCCGCCGCCGCCACCACCGCCGCGCAGCCCTCGGGGCTTCCTCCCGCCTGCCCGGCCCGCAGCGCGGGTGGAGAGGGGCGGGGAGGGGGGTCGCGGTGCGCAAGAAGTACTGGAAAACTGTGCGAAGGAATCCGAAGCAGATGAGAAGGGAGGGAAATAAAGTGGAGCCTGCAGGACGGCCTCGCCCGCGGCGGATCGTTGCTGCCGGCGCCCGCACCGGGGCTCGGCGGGGTCGTCTCTCTCCTCGCTCGCTCGCCCTCTCGCCCCTCCACCCTACGGCTCTCTCTTTTAAAGCGACACCAGCTCTCTCCCTTCCTTTACTATCTCTGTACCACCTAACCGTGGCCGGCTCTTATGGGCATGAAACACTCCTCCCGCTGTCTGCTCCTAAGGAGGAAGATGGCGGAGAACGCCGCCGAAAACCCCGAGGTAAGCGGGCGCGAGCGCGGGCCTAAGGCGACCCCGCCGCCCACCCGGACCCCGCTGCCCACGCGGGACCCGCCGCCCACCCGCACCCCGCGCCGCCTCCACCGCCGCGCTGCACCTGGTGCCAAACTTTGCCGGCTGCACCCGGCTTGCAGCTGCCGGCCGATCGTGTATGTGTGTGTATGTGTGTGTGTCTGTGCGTGTTGGGGGTGGGGGACAGCAGTGCATGGCTCCGCTCCCCTCCTTCTTGAAAATGCAAAAGAGTCGCTCTCACCCCATCACCCTCTCCTGCCACTGCTGCTCCCCGTCCCCTTCCCCCAAGTTCCGAACCCCGGGCAACCGCACGTTCCCCAGCCCTCTCTTCTGGGCTCCTCTAGGGCTCCGGGCTTGCTGGCTTCATGGTGAGCTGGGGCGGGTGACCCTGGGGTCAAGGCCATTTCCCCCTTCCTTGGCACCCTGACCATCTCAGGCCGAGCTGCCAGGAGCTCTAGTCCCTTCTTCCAGCTCTCGGTCCCCTCCAGCAGCATCGCGGAGGGCTCCCGGCTGCAGGGGGCGCGGGGGAGGGGAGCCGAGGCGCTGCCAGGACTTGGGCACCTTCCTCTGCTTCCCTCTCCACTCCCCTCCCAGCCCAGCCCCGGAGCGGGTCGCGGAGAGGTGTGCCAGCCCAGGCTGTTGGAGCCGCCTCGGGGGGCGCAGGGTCCCGGGAAGGGCGGGCCGGCCGCGGCCACCTTCAGCACCAAGGCCAGCGACCGGCCGCTCCTGCCGCAGCGGAGCCTGCGCGAGCGGTGGGGGCTGCGCGCCCGTGGCGAGCGGTGCGGCTGCAGCCGCCTGTCCCGCACGCCGCAGCTTCGCCCAGGGTTGCTTGGGGGGACTCGGCCAAGTGTTCTTTGGGGTTCCCTCCCCACCCCCAACCAGCCTTCGATCGCCCATCGTTTGCTCTGCTCTGGAGTCGGCCCTGGGCCTCAAAAGAGAGCCCTGTCCGGGCACTGCCTCCGTCCCAAGCATCCCCTAGCCTCGCCCTGACCCCTACCCCAACCTCCCTTTTGTCGTTAGAACAGACAGAGTCTTGCATGGGTTCTGGGCACCTGTAGTTAGGAAGGGGCTCCTCGTGGACAGCCCCCTTACCTTCCTGGAGAAACGGTGTGCCCAGGTGGGGGCGGAGTGGGCTACGTGGGACCAGCCCTGAGGCGGTGGCAGGGAAAAGACACGGAGCAAACCTCGGGGCTCTGTTAATAGCCGGGTGTCTTAGTGGGGCTGCTGCAAGCCTCACATATGGTTACCCATATGCAGCGTGGGGCGGGATGGGGGTGTGGCGCGGGGATCAGCCGGTCGATCTCCCCGGAATGCAGAAAAGTGCAGAGACCCTGGCCCGGGCTTCTGTTCTCGCGGTCTCAACTCTGCAGCTAACCCTTACCCCTAAGCGACCACAAGCAGCATGCAGCTGCCAACTGTCTCTTTCCAAACAAGAACGCCCCAGGGGCTTGGAAGAAGCGTGGTGTTGCTGCTGGTGGTGAGGGGCATCCAGTGGCTAACGCCTCCCCTAGAGTTAGGGCAAAGCCAAGGTGCTGGCGGTCTCCCGGGCGCTTCCTCGTCCCCACCCCCAACCCCCACCCGAGAGCGGACACCCCAGCAGGATGTGTAGCGGGTGCCAGGCGCCTGGCCTCCAAGCAGAGTCAGCCTTGCAGGTCCCTCCCCCGTGCCCTCTTACTGCCCCACCCCCACCCCACTGCCCCTCGGCCCACCCGCCCAAGAGGTTTCTAAAAATAGCTCTGAAGCTCAAGGCCGTGTGTCTGCAAAGTGTGGAGAGAGCCAGCACGTAGCAGTCCCTGCAGCCAGGTGGCTGGAGCGCAGGGGAGCTGGAAGGCGCTTCCTCCTTCTCCTCCCCCCCCTCCACTAACTCCCCCACCTCGCCGCCTCTTCACCCCATCCCACGCCACGCGTGATGGGTTTTTCAAACAAAAGTTTTCGCAGGTGCCTAAGGCGGGTCAAGCGGCAGGTGCAGAGCGGTGCCAGGTTCCGCAGCGGCCGTGGCTGCGCCCCGCACCTCGGCGAGGGTTAGAGGAGAGCAGAGCTACGCGCGCCAGGCTATTTTTACTTGCATCCCCCGCCGCTCCGCGCTCCCGCTTCCCAGCAGCCGCGCTTGCCAGCGCCGCTCAAGGCATCAATGAAAACAGCAGTAGAGGCGGTCGAGAAAAAAAAAAATCCACGCGGCGTGCGGGGGCACAGAGGCAACGAGGCCGGGGGAAGGGCGTGGGGGAGCAAGAAAATGGGCCCAGCTGGAGCGCCTGGGAGGGGCGTGAGGAGGGGGTGGGTGTTGGAGTTTGCTTCTTAGCAACCTCCTTGGAGAAATGGTGTAACCCAGACTGGGTCAAACCCGCATCGCGATGAGGCACTCAGGCAGCGTGACTATCTCCTTTGGTCTTTCTCCAGGAACTGGCTGTTTTCTTGGAATAAGCCAGGACTGGAGCCGGCACTTCCAAAAGTGGGGTGCTGTGGGTTTGCCTGCGCCTCTGTTGCTGGGTAAGGCCATTGTTCTTGGTTCAGTACTGATCCAGCCCCAGGAACACAGTGGCCCAAGAGCCCACCGTGTGCCCATCTGATGGACACCTCTCCTTGCCTTTTTCTGCTGTGCTTCTGTTTCCATTCAAGCTCTTGCTTTCATTTCCCTGGCACAGTAGCCCCGATTGGTAAGAAAAGGTTGGTTAATTTCTTATCCTCATTCCATAGATGAGGGCATGGAGGCACTGAGCGAGGTCAGGCAATTTCTAGAAATCCCCACTTGGGTATGTCAGCCTGGGAACACAGATGGCCCTGAGAACTGGTCTTTGCCCTATACTTGCCATTTTGAGAAAGATGCCATGTGTGAATGAGAGGAGATGAGAGGTGGAAGGATGGACAGATGCTAGGAGGAGGCAGGCAAGGTGGCTGGAGAAAAGTGTTCTTTCAGGAGGTGAGGCTGGAGGTGGGGAGATGCTGGAGTAGATATGCTTCCTACATGACCAAGAGCCTGGGGCCTTGAGGGCACATGGCTGGTGGTGCTGCTGGCACTGGGTGACCCTGGTGCCCTTGTTAACCGTGCCCACCTTGGTTCACTCTTTTGTGAACCAGAGCTGTCTCTTTTTATGGTTGACGGTCAGCGTGGGATGTGAGGAGATGCTCTATGGCACACATGAAGCAGGTGCTTGCTCCTTCTCTCTCCAATGTGCTGCTCTTCCTCCATCATGGCCCTCACCAGTCCCTGTCCACCTCCGCCCTAACTCCCTGCTTCTAGATGTGTTGGTCAGCATCTGAACACTGTCACAAATCCCCCCCAAAGAAGTCAGTGGAGTGGGGCAGGAAGGAGGCTCACACAGGCTCATAGTCCGAGATCCGGTGGCCATGCTGGTTGGGTGTGTGGTGAGGCTAGATGATGGTGGAGGTGGAGCATGTGTGTGAAAGGAGAGAGATATAGATATAGATATAGATATAGATATAGATATAGATATAGATATAGATATAGATATAGATAGGAGAGAAGGCTGAACATAGCTGTTATATACAACCCTCTCCCAAGAATGCTTTCTTTTTGATTTAAAGATTTATTTTATTAGAGAGGCAGATTTACAGGAACAAGGAGAGACAGAAAAATCTTTTTTCTGCTGGTTCACTTTCCAAATGGCTACAATGGCCAGAGCTCAGCTAATCTGAAGCCAGGAATCAGGAGCTTCTGGGTCTCCCACATGCACGCAGGGTCCCAAGCCTTCGGGCCATCCTCTGTTGCTTTCCCAGGCCACAAACAGGGAGCTGGATGGAAAGTGGAGCAACTGGGACACGAACTGCTGCCTATATGGGATGCCAGTGCTTGAAAGTAGAGGATTAGCCTATGGAGCCACTTTTTGAGGACATACCCCTGATGAGCTAAGGGCCTCCCTTAAGCCTAACTCTTAGATACCTGCAATTACATCCTCCCAGCTCAGCCTTGGGATTCAACTGCATGAGGTCAGAACTATATGCTCCTCAAGCCACAGCACCAGGCATCCTGAAAAGCCTTTTCCAGTGCCCATAACTCCCCCTACCCTGCATCATCCTCTTCTTCAGGCCCATGGCTTGTATTTTTGATCTTTTGCTCTCTGCCCTTATGAATACTCCAATGCCTGCTCTGCGGGTCCTCATCTCTGATCCAGTCCCAACAACCACGGCTTGCCTGGCCCAGCCTCAGCCATTATGGGCATTTGGTGGTAGTGGTGAGGCCAAAGCAGTTGTGTAGTGGTGAACAAACATCAGATGGGAACTCTGTCAGATTCCCAAATAAATACACATTCTTACAATGAAGGCTGATGTGGTGGTGCACCAAGTTAAAACGCTCTTTGTGCTGCCAGTATCCAGTATCAAGAATGCTGGTTCAAGTCCTGGCTGCAACACTTCTGATCCAGCTCCCTGCTAATGGGCCTCAGAAAGCAGTGGAGGATGGCCTAAGTGCTTGGGGTCATGCTATTCCCATGAGAAACCAGAGTAGGATTTCTGGTTCTTGGTTTTGGCCTGGCTGAGTTCTGGCTGGTGTGGGTACTTGGAGAGTGAATCAGTGGATGGAAGATCTCTCTCTCTCTGTCTGTCTCTCTCTGTCACTCTGCCTTTCAAATAAACAATCTTTTTTAAACAGGAAATGAAAACTGTAAAGTCACCTTTCTATTTTTGGGCTGTACTAGGCAGACTCACCCTCTTTACTGGTTTTTGTTCCAAGTGATCGTAGCATTAGCTTTCTAACAGTAACAGTTAAGAGAGGAGTGCTTGAAATTAGCCTCTCCTGCATTAGGCTGTCATTGCATCCTTCTCACACCCAAGGTCTATACTTCTTTCACATGTCATTAGCATTTTTTCAAGCACAACTGTTTTTTCCCCCTTAGAACTGCAATGGTAACCCATAAATAAAGATATCTTTCTAAAGTCTAATTTTATAAGTGCAAACAGCTTGATGTGCACATTTTTTTTTCATGAAGTCATAGAATTTTAGAGTGGCAGAGAAA